ATAAGAGTCACACCTCTATATAATCACCAATTTCTGTATCCCGAAGGTGTGACTATATGGAGGTTAGACTGTATATGTTATACTTTTCTACGATAATTCTAACATTATAAATATTGGCACATTAAATATTACTAATTTTCGTTTAACTACTTGCCCAACATGTTTAATGCAGTAGTGTGTTTAGTCTGTGTGAAAACTAGGGATGTTATCCTGCTTAAATCTGCTAGTTTGTGCTTTGAAACCCATTCAAACACTGTTTGGAAATACATGCGTACATAATCTCGGTTTCAAAATCTGCCTTAAACTATTTATATGTATATACTGTACTATTAATTATGCCTAATGATGTGCAAATTATGCACATTGAATTTTGGCCCACATTATAGAATTCTGGCCCACATTATGATAGCTTGCTGCTAATTCAGACCAAAATTATGAGCTTCTGAAATGTTCTGAAAGCTCTGAAATATTCCCATGCACATGATGCACACCACCATGCACGTCTGAACATGTTGGTTTAAAACCTGCTGTATATTTATTTATCATATAATATACAATATATTATGTATACATTTCGCATGATATTTATTATATCAATATTTGCATATGGCCAGGCCTCACTCTTTGAAAAAGAAAAAAACAAAACTATATTTGCATATTATATATTCATTGCATTGATTTATTTTTTTATTTATTTGTTGACCCTCATGCATTCAAACATACCCAATTTATATCAAGCTTTTAAACAAAGGCTTGCCTCAATATGTTCTTTAGATCTATATGGCTCAACATTCATTTTATTAATTTTTCTTATTAATTCATTCCACTTATCCAACTGATTACGTTTTTATCGTAGAAAAACCTGTATTCATTGAAGAGGCTTGATTGCAATGTTTGCAATATTATATGTCGATGTCGTTACTTTCAATAAGCTTATCCCAGAAAGGATCAGTTTAAATCGTTTTGAGGACGGTTTGTTGTGTAAGCTGAGATAATATTAAAATCGATGTGGAGGTAAGTTCATTTATATTATTAGGTTGTTCGAGTGTGTTTTCTTGCTCATAATATGAGGATAAGAAAAAACAATGTCACGTATTTATAGTAATTGAAAATGTTTCTACAAGTAGAGAAATATATATTTTTTTAAAAAAAGGTTAACTTTAATTAAAAAATAATATGAAAACTAATTTATATCATTTATGTCATAGAAATTAACTTTCAATTAAAAAAAATTATTATGAAACATTTTTGTTTAAGAAATTGATTTCGAACCCGATTGGAGCACTATGAGCAGTACTGAGTCTAATTGAAATCACGTGATTACAAAAACACGTCTTTAACGGGTTTGGGTTTCAAACAGGCCCGAAATGAGTTTGGACAAGCAGGATAACATACCTAGCGAAAACATATATACATCAAATCACCATGTAATCTATATGTATATAACCAGTGTTGCATTGAACATATGTCCAATTAATTTAAAATGATTGGACATATAAAATTTTATATGTCCATAGTTTTCATTAGACATATGTCCAATGCCAACACTGTATATAACATAACATAAGTTGTGATATATTGATCATGCTAAAATCAATAACTTAACTGGATCGGCCAAAAACCATTCTGCAAATTTTTACCAGGTGTTTCAGGAATTATGAAATCAGCTGTAAACTAGAGCAAACCCGAAGCTTCTAATTGGGTTTGGGCCCGGGCCGGGTTGGGCCTGTGTTTTAGTTTACAGCTATTTTCATAATTCCTGTGACACCTGTAAAAAATTAGCTGAATGATTTTTTGCCGATTATTATTTCGGTATAACAGATTCCATAAAAATTGGTATACATACTAATTTTTATTGAATCTGTTATGCCGAAATAATAAATCGGCCGAAAATAATTTTTTACAGGTGTCCCAGAAATTATGAAAATAGCTGTAATGGTTTTTTTGAGTTTGTAGGCTTTTTTATAAAGTCTGGCCCGGTCTTAACCTGTTTTCATAATTCCTGAGACATCTGTAAAAAATTAGCCGAATGATTTTCAGTCGATCTGGTTAATTTATAATTTCGGTATATATTTTTACATGTGAGATAATTTTATCATTACGTATTAGGTAGATGTGAGATGCTGTCGCAATAAAATCAGAAACGTAGGCAATAATATTTATAATTATATATGCCAATTCTTACATTATATCATAAAGCTTTTGTTTAAATCTAGCATTAAGACCTAATTCTGAATTTTCTTTATTTATTTTGTTATAATTAGTGTTCCGCAAAACTGAACCGAAGATCCGAAACGACCCGGAACTGACCCCTGATTCGGGTCCAGATCCATTATTGTTACAGCTATTATTATTATTTCTGGGACACCTGAAGAATTTTCAGATGACCGAAATATCCTCTGTTTTATTCGGTAAATTATCTAACTTCTCGAAAACTATATTGCTGTCTCCGGACCTTTAGTCCGAAGACAGTGATGTAATTTCCGGAGAGCTAGAAACTTTACCAAATGAAACAGAAGATATTTCAGTCATCTGAAAATTCTTTAGGTGTTCCAGAAATAATGATAATAGCTGTAAATTAATTCAGTTCCGGGTCTTGATCCATACCCGAATCGGTAATACCCACTATACGTCATTGATGGTAGTAATGTAGTAATTAATACAAGTATATGAACTATGCAGTCAGTAAATGATATGTTATGCAAGGAAATGTAGTAATTAGTGCCAGTGCATGAAGTATGTAATCATTAAATTGGCATAAGTAATTAGTATTAGTAATCGCTTTAATAAAGGTCGACAAGGAATTGGGTATAAAAGAGAAAAGAGAGAGTAGGTTAGTTAGTTACTTTAATATTCAGTAGTAGTAATAAAATAGGAGTTCTGGGTCAGTTTTCCGGTACCTCTATCCAATTTGTCTCTCTAAGCTTACCTAGAACCTCAAATCAGATATCATCTACCCTATGCTCTATTCGACCTTCTAAGTATATCTAGAGCCTCAAATAGAGTATTAACCCCTCTTCGGCATCCTAATTAAGCCTCTAAGTATATCTTAAGCCTAAAATAAGCTATCAACCTTCTTATACCCTATTTGGGGTTTTAAGGGCTTAAAACCTATCAAATACGTTATGATATCCTATTTGGGTTCTATTTGGTTTATAATTCTCTAAAATCTATCCTCCTTTTGGCATCCTGCTTGGGCTTTATTTGGTCTTTAGAGAGTAATATCTCAGTTTGGATACCAAAAAATTTCGCTATGGGTACCCAAAAATTAGTTATGCCTACCTATATGGGTACCTGGAATTATTAATTAAACAAAAGTATTTTATAAGTGTTATATAGTAGTTTTGATACTGTAATACTATAATGGTTACTTATACTTGTGATAGATGTGGTAATATTTTTCCTAAATTATGGAAACTTAGACGCCACCAAGAAAGAAAGTTTTCATGCAAGCCTGCACCCAACCCCCAGTTGCCAGACCCTGAACCAAATCATGAAGCCGGTCCTGGTCCAACAACTCAAGCTCACAGAGAAGCACAAATTACTGAAACTACCAGTCAGCAGGCTATAACCCAAGACCAAGAAAAAATATACACTCCTGAAGAGAATTTTCAGTCAATTTATGAAACAGAAAATGGTGTTAAAGAAAAAGAACTCCCCTCTGGAGATATAAAATTTCTGAAAAAAAGGCCAGATACAGAAAGGCAACACAAAAGTTTGGATGCTGTAACCTTTTAATAAACAACAAAATAACCAGATTGTTTATGCTGATGCGCTATATTTGCCTCAACTTTTAGGAAGTGCAAGAGGGGCTATCACAAAGGTCTTGAAAGAAGAGTTACAGAAAAAAGACCAAATAAAATCTGCATTAGTAGTATCCGCCACCTATGTGAAATATAAATATAAGAGTAGAGATCCTAGTAATATCGAAAACTATAGCGCAAGTTATCACTATCCATATCATAGAGGGGATATGTATATACTCCTTTCAGAAAATGATATAGATGAGTATATAACTAGATCTGCAGAAGAAATCGATAAAAAGATTAAAACATACTTAAAAAAAGAGTCCGGAAAAATTCTTTTAAGGTTAGAGATGGTTTTTATTGAGGCTTATACTTATCGTAGGTCCCTTGGTAGTTCATTTATTTCTACACCAATGAGGTTAGCTAATACAAAATGTACCATTAATCCTAATAATTATTTACTTATAGACCCAGAAACAAATACATTATCTGAAAAATGTTTTAAAGGCGCATTAGCTTGTTATTTTGCTAATAAAGATGGCCATACTTATCATCTTGATCGAATATTTACTAGAAAAGAATATAAGCAATACTTAAATATTGTTAAGCTAGATGGGGTTCCCATGCCCACTCTAGTCTGCTCACATATATTTAATAAGATTGAGGAAATAAACCCAGATATCTCTATTAATGTTTAGGAGTAGGACGAAGAAACAGCAACTCCCAAGCCAGTAATAGCTAGTAGAAACTATAATAGACAACATATTATATATCTTATGGCTCTTACAGATTTTACTAAAAATGAAGATAATATGTATGGGCAAAAAATTCACTTTCTTTGGATCAAGAATCATAATGGGCTAGTATACAAAGATATAAAGTATCACAGTAAAAAGCATCTTTATAATCGATGCTTTCAAAGCTGATCCTCAGAAAAATCACTAGCCTATCACCAAGAACACTGTTTTGGTTTGGGAGAGGCTGCTCAAAGAGTTAATTTGCCAGTAAAAGGTGTCAATGACTTTGAAAAGTTTAAGAACTATGGTAGAATGATCAATGCACCATGTGTAATTATAGCTGATTTTGAGGCTGACAATAAAAAGTGTAATGAAGCATATGGAGGGCAAATGCGCAAGCTTGCTAAACAAAAAGCTAATAGTTTCTGTTATCTCGTTCACTGAATTGATACTGAAAATATATGGGGGCCTTTCCTATACAGAGGAGAAAATGCCACACAAGAATTTGTTTGAAGAATAGACAAAGAATTAATAAATATAAATAGAATTTTAGCTAACAAAGCAGACCGAATTGAGACTGAAGAGAATAAGAAAAAATTCACTGAAGCGCTTAATTGTTGAATCTGTAAAAACAAGTTTGATAAAAATGATAAGGTTTGGGACCACTGCTATATAACAGGTAAGTTCCGAGGAGCAGCGCACAATTCCTGTAATCTTAAACTTAAGATCGAACCCTAGAAAACATCTATTTCTATAGTTTTCCACAACTTTCGTGGCTATGACTCTCATTTAGTCTGTGAATCTGTTGGAAGACATATTGGTGCACAGCATATCAAGGTTATAGCTGAAGCATTTGAGCACTATAAGTCCATAAAAGTAGGTCAGTTTAAGTATATAGATAGCCAACAGTTTATGAACAATAGTTTGGCCAATCTTATGAAAAATTTGGGCGCCAACCACCCAATCACAAGCTAGCACTATAAAGACTTCTCTTCAGAACAAATAGCACTAGTATGTCGCAAAGAAGTATACCCCTATGAGTATATTGATTCTCATGATCGATTTTTAGAGACTGAGCTTCCACCTATTTATGAATTCCATGGGTGCCTTAATGATAAAATCTCTCAAAAAGACTATAATCATGCATAGGAAGTCTGGAAAGAGTTTGGCTGCAGAAACTTAGGTGAGTACCATGACCTTTATCTTAAAACAGATGTACTCAATCTTGCAGATGTTTGGGCGTAATTTCAAAAGACATGTATGGAGTATTATAAGCTTGATCCTAGCTACTATGTTTCAGCACCGGCATTGGCTTGGGATGCCATGCTCAAAATGACAGAAGTAAAAATAGGACTATTTACTGATATGGCAAAGCACGACTTTATCGAAAAGGCTAAGCGTGGCGGCATAGCTATGGCTTGTCAAAGATATTTAACAGCCAATAATCCCAAGATGGGAGATGCATATAATTCAACCAAACCAACAATCTGGATTTCATATGTTGACGCAACAAATCTCTATGGTTGGGCAATGAGTCAATACTTACCTATTGGGGTGTATGAATGGGTAGCAAGCCGAGAATATTTACTTAACAACCCTAATAAACAAAAGAAATATCTTGAAAATATTCTCAAAACTAAAGCAGATGCCAAGCAGGGTTATTACTTAAATATTAAGGCACATTTTCCTATAAAGACTCATAACTATTTGAGTGATTTGCCACCAGCTATAGAAACTATTGTGTTAAAAAGGAATTGGTTATGTCCTTATACTACTAAGCTTGTAGATACCTTGGATAGCGGACACTTTTTAGAAACAGAA